AAAATTACAGAATATTTTATAAGACATAATGCTCAGATACAACAGATATTTCAAAGAAATGTCAGTTCACTAAAATTACAGAATATTTTATAAGAGTTTCGGATACTCTTAGCAACTGAAAGATGTAAACTAGAAGAAAAAAAGGTTGAAATGAGAAAAGAAAAAGGACAGCAGTTATAGGCTCTTTACACTAAGAAACAGAATTTTTTTAAAATCTTAATATGCTTGGCATTGACAACAGCATAAAAGCAGAATAATTCTTCTCCTTCCTCTAACCAGGAACTTCTTTACTATTGACAAATATAGATTCTTCCCCATCATTCCCTTCTATAGTAGCTAAGATTCTCACATTTCCAAGCATATCTAAGCTCCCTACAGAAAGATATGTACCCAAAATAGCACAGAATGAAATAAGACTTTAAACTACACATCTCCTTCAAATGAACAAAGACAGTAAAATTAAAACAAAATTCTTTTTCTTACATTAGAATTCCTTTAAGATCAAAGAATACCAAGCACCCGTTTCACAGTAAATGATCTATTGATTTATCTAACGAACAGGAAAGAAAAACATGACAAATTACATGTAATGGTAAGGCCAAAAAAAAACATTTAGGGTAGGAATTTTAATCTTATTTTTCATTAAGTTCATTATACTAGCTGTGTGGGATTACCTACTGGCAATGATCTATTCCTGACTCCTGTGCTCTTCTTCTGTATAGTAAAGGACGGACACCTGAAACCTATATCACTCAAACTATTTTGCCACCAGAGCTCTGGATATAATTTAGATTCTGCCAATAAGATGCACTTGCTTCAGATGTGGAAAGCAGAAGAGAGACAAGGTCCATTTTTCCTCTGACCATGGTAGCAGCTGATGTGTAGGCTTTGGCAGACATGAATTTTTGAAGTACTAGACTCCACATTCCAATGCCAATAAGCAGCTTTGGAACTTTGGGGTATATGTGATATTGTGAATGACTACCTGCAGCCTCTATTAGTATTAACAACTAATAAAGTTGCCTACTATATTAGGTGAAAAAAGTTGTTGGAGAGGCCAAGGGAAGCACACAGTAGATTGTTACAGAATTTCAGAATGTCAGAGTTTGGGCTCACCTGGACTACCCCTCATTTTATGTATGAAAACAGTTCCATAATGGTTAAAAACCCACGTTTCTTGTTATCCTTTTAATGTACTTTAGAACATAACACATACTGCTTCCAATTAGTCATGAAATAATCAGTTTAAGATGTTTCCATTAGCAAGTAAACATGTAAACCTGGTGAAGTATTTCCCATCCAAAAATAGAACTCTTCTCTGACTCCTGTAGCTACTCCATTTCTCTATTCCCATGTATAGGGATCACCCTGAAATAATTTTCTTCACTTCCTCTATTATTACTTCCCTGAATCCACTTTAGTTGACTTTTGCCATTACCACTCCAATGAAAGAACTTTCACGAAGATCACTAACAAGTTCTCATGGTCAATTCCAAGGTAATTCCTCACTCTTTATCTTAATCATCATCTCTTAGCTCTCTTGGTCCCTGTAATTAACTGTTACATCCCCTTCTTTAATAACTTTCTTTGCTTGAATTTTGGGACACCACTATTCTACATTTTCTCCTATTTTACTGGCCAGTTACTCTTCTTCCTTTTCAAGTACTGGTTCCTCTTTCTCTTTCAGCCTGTAATGTTGGAGATGGCCCAGAACTTGGTACCTCACTCTGTTTTCTTTCCTCTGTGTTTCTCTCTAGGTAGTAGCACCACAAATTAAACTTCCAGTTTCAACCTCTCTCCTAAACTCCAGACCCAGATATTTGATTGTCCACTTGACTTCTCCACTTGAATGCCTAATAGCCATATCAAACTTAACACATCTAAAATTCTTGACTTCCACCTCTAACTACTCCTTCCCCAGGACTGGTCTCAGTAAATGGTATCACCAATCATCCAATACCTAAGCATAGGATTTATCATTATATCAACAATTTCTATCAGCTTTACTTTCAAAATATATTTGGCATCCAAGTACTTTCTGCCACCTTCATGACTACCACACTAGTATGGACCACAAACAATCTCTCTCATCTAGCTCACTAAAATGGCTTCTTAACTTGTCTCCCTACTTCCAGTCATACTCCCCATCATGGTCCATGTTATGGAGTAACTACTAATTTTTTTAAATATAAATCATATCAAGTCACTCCCATACTCAAACCTTTCAATGGCATCCCCTCAAATCCAGGATGAAATCCAAAGTTCTCACCAAAGCCTATGAAGTTTTCTTTGAGCTTACATCTGCTGCCTCTCAATCTCATCTACCACTCTCCCCTCAGCCCCTGCATTCCAGTTGTACTCAGCTTCTTCATGTTCCTTAAATATACAAACTGTTCCTTCCTGAGGGTCTTTACATTTGCTGTTTCCTCTGTCTAGAAGCTCTTTCTCCATATTTTCCCCTAAATCTACTTTTTTTCTTTTTTAGACGGAGTCTCACTCTGTCGCCCAGGCTAGACTGTGTGATCTCGGCTCACTGCAAGCTCCACCTCCCAGGTTCACACCATTCTCCTGCCTCAGCCTCCTGAGTAGCTGGGACTACAGGCACCCGCCACCATGCTTGGCTAATTTTTTGTACTTTTTAGTAGAGATGGGGTTTCACCGTGTTAACCAGGATGGTCTCGATCTCCTGACCTCGTGATCCATCCGCCTCAGCCTCCCAAAGTGCTGGGATTACAGGCATGAGCCACTGCGCCCGACCCCCCTAAATCTTTACATTGTTATTTCAGTGATTTTTCTGCCTATGGCAAAAGCAATGTTCTCACCAAACCCTTGTCTTCTTCTTGAGCACACAGAAGATACATGATCCCAGTCTCTCTTACAGTAGGCTGGGCAAAGTGACAGAGTTTCAGCCCACTAAACGTTGGCTAAAAGCCAGGCCTGATTCTTAAAACATTTTGCACAATACACCAAACTCTTTCTTCCCTAATATCCCAAGCAAGAAGCAAAGAATTTCAAGTTGTTGGGGCTACACAATAGAAGGAACCTGGATCCCTCACTCCCTGCTTGGAGAAAAGCAATCCTAGAAAGTGAAGTCAAATTTTGTGCAAGTGAAAAAATTTTATTCCATTAAGCTACTGAGATTTTGGGGCTGTTAAAACAGCTAGCATTAATTACTTTGACGATGTTGTCTTAAAGTGGAACTTCTTCAGAGAAGCCTTCCCTGACCACTCAGTCTAGTCACTCATTTCTCGATTCAACTTCTAACCTCCTATGCTGCTTTGTGTTTCTTTAGAGAACTCAGCTCTAATTTTTAGTGTATTTATTTACTTGCTTATTGTTTAGCTCTGCACTAGAGTGTAAGATCCATTAAGGTAGGGACTATATCATACCCATTACTTTATTTCAGGTTCAAGAACAGTCCTTGGTTCATTATTGGGAACTTGCAGATGCCAGTTGCTGGTCTGAGTTCTACCAACAAATATTTGATGAATGATGGAATGACTTAATGGTGTTTTGTGGCAAACAGCATTGAGATGGAACACACACTTAACAGATTCTAAGTAAGACCTGTCATTAACCCAGAGTAGGACATGTCTAAGTTCAGAAATGCCCTACATGGATATGTTTTCATTTCCAAACTGCCCCATGTCTCAACATTCTCTTTTTGAAAAGCTCTAAGAAGAGAGGAGATAAGCAGTATTATTTATTATACCATTGTGCCAAAGACATTTGATATAGATATCCATGCATAGGAACTCCTGGCGTGAAAGTAAATTTGAAGATGAGAGCAAGAAATAGCATGATGCCTGATCAGGGAACTACTAATACTATAAAACCTAAACTAGTGCTATAAAACCTGGGAGGAGGACTTCAGTGGCAATGACAGCTGCATCAGAAGCAGCAGAAGACAGTGAGAAGTGTCTAAAGTTTAAGCTTACCAAATTTTCTAGGGAACAGAGCAAGCTGGGAGAAGCCTTCCAACAAATATGCCAACTATTGTTCAAAGACAAGCAGAAACAAACCTGAAGAATACGGGTTTTCTGTTGATTATTTGTCATTCTTCTTGACTTGGTCCTTTCCACTTCATGTCTATGAACCCATCCTCGAAGTTCATGATTTAACCTATAAAATATAGTTTAATTGATTAAACATAGAAATTAACTAAACACAGAAATGAATGTTTCACCCTGTGGTTGGAAATGCATCTAATCATTTGTAGGTTCTAAAGTGCATTCCAAGTGCCTGATGACTCAATATTGCTTTTTGATTTGAAAAAGTTGACACCTAATGTTGTTTTTAATAAGACACGCATTTTCACATGGTAAACCTGTCAACCACGCATTCAAAATTCAAAGAAAACTACAGCTAAATACCTCCCAAATATAAACACTGGATGTTAAGGTTTTTCAACCAGAAAAAGTATTTCCTTGCCGGGCACGGTGGCTCACACCTGTAATTCTAGCACTTTGGGAGGCTGGGTGGGAAGACTGCTTGAGTCCAAGAGTTTGAGATTAGCCTGGGCAACACAGTGAGACCCTGTCTCTACAGAAAATTTTTTTTAAAAATTAGCTGGGCGTGGTGGCATGTGCCTGTAGTCTCAGCTACTCAGGAGGCAGAGGCAGGAGGATCACTTGAGCCTGGGAGTTTGGGAAAGCAGTGAGCTATGATCAAGCCACTGCACACCAGCCTGAGCAACAGAGCGAGACCCTGTCTAAAAATAAAATAAAAGTCATAGGACCCCTAACAACAAATAGATGTATTAAAACCTCTTGAAAATCCTGCTTTTTTGGGAGAAGAAAAAGAATGAACTCAATTGCTGGGGGTAAAAAAAATGCAAATTTTTCAACACAGGAAATAAAAGTGTAGCTCACATATAACTTCCTTTATTTTGCTTACTTTTTACAGCAGCTGTGAAGATGTTAAACTATGTTTATTTAACTGTAGTTGATTACTACCTATCACAAAAAACCTGAGGTAGCTTTTGAGGTTTTAAGGATAAGGTCCAAAATCACAGGAAAAAAAATTAAGGGAAAAGCTGATAAAGAAGTGTGTACTAACGGTAAAGTATCTCCAAAATCACATATCCACAAATTATTATCTTCCTAATTAGAAGAAAAAGGTACTTTCTGCTATGAATGTTACCAACTATAAGCCTAACACCCTGAAATTGTAATATTAATTTCATTCTGTAGTTTTCAAAGAAGACATATTTAAGTAAGCAACCATCACATAAAATAGACCCATCACCGTATCTATCAGGTTGGTGGAGAAACTGGACGACTAATATGCCTACAGTTATCCAACAAACAATTCAGAGATTCTCTCAGTCACTTAGTGAACCTGACCAATTACTTGTCTAGGTTCCAAAGCTAAACATGGGAACCAACTCAGATGTTCTGAGTTGTTCTGCAATAATCTACAACACTCACCTGAGAGACTCTGTGGTGTTAATTAGGGGCTGACAAGGAGGTGGAGGAATATAAAGCAATGGTTCTTCAGTTAGCACCATCAGGGCTTTGTCATTTGAAACAGAATGATCATATCTGAAACATGGATGCACAAAGTTTGTTTCCTTATATCTTAAATTCCTAAGAAGTTTGCTATAAGAAAATCATCATTAGTGTTAACTTTTCATGGAAATATAGTAAACAGAATATACTGCAAGATAAAGTATAAAATATAAAAACTTATTTTACATGAAATGTCATTTTCTGATTTTCTACAGAGACAGGATGGTAATTCACATTTGTCTAGTCACCATTTATTAAGCAATTAATTTGGAATACGGGATACAATAACACATGGTTCATCATGTCTTCAACAAGCTTAAGACATGCACAATGCTGCTGATACAGAGGTGGTAACACAGTAATGGGGTAATTGAGGGGAAAATCAACCGGTATTATGTGACCAGACTAAAGTTTTGGGGTTATTCACAGTTCTACGATAATAAAACTGGATAGTACCCATAAAACAGGTAGAAGAGTGTGTGTGTGTGTGTGTGTGTGTGTGTGTGTTACGGATAGGGTAAGACATAAAATGCTTGGCAGAAGAAAAGTGAAAGAGTTGAAAAGCCGAATATATACTATGGGATCATGGAAGAATCTGAACCACTAGTAAAACAACAGGGTGACTGACATTAACTAGTTACTCTATTTGCTTCAAAAATACATAGTTTGCTAGCCATCACACTGATGTAGATCATGTGAATTCATATCCAAGGTGTGATGTAGGAAGCAAACTGGAGTTGAAAGTTAGAATTTGAGATTTACTGCTATTTGTGCTCTTCAGTCTGCAATCTTAATCTCTCTCACTAAGAAAACTTGCACCTCTCCTGAATTTCTTTATATAGGATGATCTGGATTTAGAAAACTAGATATGCTAATATCTCAAAAGAAAACATGTAAACATATAAAACTGAATATAGTGAGATTCACACTTTTCATTTAGTCATTCAACAAAAAATTGCTGAATACCAACTGTGTGCCAGGTATTGTGCTAGGTGCTGAGAATCCAGTAGGGAATAAGAGAATCAAACTTTCTGTCCCCAAAGACCTTAATGGGGAAGATGGACCAAATAGAAGAAAATAAATGGATAAAATAAATCCAAACCCTGGTAAGTGCTATGAGAGAAACAAGCAAATGGTTGAAATGGAAAAGCAATGGTAGTATATACTTTAGATAAAATGGTCCGAGAAGGAGATGGTAGTTACATCAAGGCCTAAATGATGAGAAGAAGCCGCCTCTATAGAAACTGGGGTAAGAGCGTTCTAGGCGTAAAAGAGGCAGATGGGGAAAAGGTGGGCTCAAAGAACTTTAAAAAGACCACTGGCTGAAAAGTTGCAAGCAAGCGGGGAGGTAGATGGGGAACAGGATGAGGTTGGAAAGACAGAAACCAGGTCATAATAAGGAATTACTAAATGTAATAAGAAGTCACAAAAATGTTTCAAATAAAGAAGTGATACATTTCAATTTACATTTATACCTTGCCATGGTACCAAAAATGGACTCAATGGATGCAAAAGGGGAAGCTAAGACACCAATTCGGAAAGAGCTATGGCAATCCTGGCAAGAACTGATAATGGCATGGACTAGGTTTGCGGCAGCAGAGACGGAGAGGGATGGACCAATTCAAGACAATTTTTGGGAAGAATATCAACAACACTTGTTGAAAGACAGGAATCAGGATTTCTGGCTTAAGCAATGGAAAGGAAAAAACAGCTGTAGAAAATTGGTTGGAAGTAAAAGAGGGAGAGGAACTGAGTTCCACAGTGCACGTGTTAAGTTTGAAATGTTAAAACAGAGATGTCAAAGAGACTATTGGATATGTGAGTTTGGAGACTCAGAAAAGAAGTCTGGACTGAAAATATAAATTTGAGAGTCATCAGGATATACAGATATGGAGTGTGCATGAAATTATGGATGAGTCGCCTAGGCAGAAAGAAAATTTTAAAAGTTCACAGTTCCAAACCTCGAGATTTGGGTAAAAAAGGAGCCCACAAAGATTACTGTGAAGGAGCAGCCAATAAAAAAAGGAAACTAAAAAAACGTAGCAACACAAAAGGAAAGTCTTTCAAGGAGCAAAAGACCCACATAGCCAAATGCTGAGGAAAGGGCAAGTAAGATGGCAGAAAGCACTGGCCCCTTAACAGAAATAATTTTGGCAAAGTGGAAGGTTAACTTCAAGTTAAAAGTTAGAGATATCTATTTATGCCCCATAAGAGAGAAAAGAAACAACAGCAGAGGATATATAGAACATTCTTCCCTGCAACTTGCACCAGGAATATTCTCAATGTCCTCTCTTGAGGCTGTAAGGGTTAAGCAGGTTTAAGTTGTTTAGAATAAAACAGACATGTTGGTGCACAGGTAATGACTGCAAACAGAAAAGGATCAGCCTAAAATGAAGCACTGAGTGAGAAGGAAAAAAAAAATCTGCCTTGTGTTTGATAAATCTGAATGCCTGTAAGAAAAGGCTGCTTAGCACTTCTTCTTATAAATCTATGACATATGCATTATTTTAAAAATCATGCCTGCATACTTAGAAAAATACAAACACTGTAGTCCATGAGAAAAGTCCAAAACTGCCTTTGAAAATGTATTTCTGATCTGAACTCTAGTAACAATTTCTGCACATCTGTGCTAACTGGCTTTGTTCTATCAGCCAAAAATATTCTTCAGAAAAGAAAAAAAAAAAAAGTCTGATAGGGGAAATACCAGGACAAGGATTGGGTGGAGTTAAAGGAGAGAGAAAATCAGCCAACATGCAATCTGGAGACAATTAGACCAACATTACATTAGCCCAGAAACAGTCAGAGTTCGAGTCTGCTTGCAAACATTTTATGCCAAGAGAAAAAAAATCAGCAAATAAATCACTGAAGTAAAGGACAGTGCTAGGGAGCTAGAGTTAATGAGAATTCTTGGAGTAAAGATCAGTTCTGGGTGACATCTTATATATATAGGGTGACCATCCTTTCCCATTTATCCAAGACAGCAGTACTGATGTTCTCATGTAATTATTACTAGCAGTACCTTTCCTTCTTAAAAGTGTCCCAGTTTGATAGAACATTATATGGTCATACTATTTATATGCCACACATTTCTATGACTGAAAAAATATATGCAGTTAATTACTAAATGATATGCTAATACAATATTATAAACTATGGGATTAGAATCTACTTTTTTATTGGAACCATATCTCATAGCTCTCCTTAGAAAAAGAAACATAAAGTAAGCTGCATTAAAAAATGTATCGGTATCATGGCTGAAAATAGATAAAACATCTAAAATTCAGTTCAGAACACAGAACAAAGTAATATTAGGTGCTTTCAAATGTTTCACAAACATTTTTTGGTATCTTTTATTCAGTATTTATACTGATAAAAGCAAGAACATCAAATTAATGGACTGGCATTTTTTTAAATCTCTCAAGTTGCTGAATAATATTTCAAGAGACTTGCATGTAATCAAGAATCCATAATGTTTCCTGGGTTGTTTTTTTTTCCCAAGACCAGTAACCCAGATTATTCACTCGATGGTGACTTTGGAGTAGGGAGAGAGAAAATAGTTTGCATTCCATGTACTACTTTGAAAGCTGATAAATTTCAGCCAGAAAGTCATTCAGACTTCTAGGCTGAACTAGTATGATCAGACTACCATGCTTTCTGGGAGCCACCATGTTATCTTATGCTAATGTGAACAAAAAAGTGAAGGCTTCTATTTGCTGTAGTTAGTGCAGAAGAAATAATATTCTTGTAAAGCTTATCTGAACTGTAATTTCAAGAATTCAATCCATAACTTGTTCTATTCTTTAGCAAGAAGTCATCTCGACTCTTGCAAATCCAAACGCTATTAGGTTTAAATTTAATTTTTGATGGATCTTATGTGGACACTAACAGAATTCAAAATTATAGAACATGTAGGGCAAACCTGGACAAATTATTTAGTAAAATTAAAGATACTATTAAACTCTACCAATACTCAAGGGCACTGTTAAGAGATCATCAAGGTCAATATTTAAGAAGTACGATGAATTTTGGCATGTAAAAACACAGGAAATGTTATGTTTTCCAACATTATGACATCTACCACTGCTATGCTGCATTGCAGCTACTGCCATAAAATCCTTTGGGTCCTCCACTGACTTAGCATACTGCATTCCACAAAAATAACAGTTTTTTCAGGAAGGCTAAGTGGAGACAAGCCTGCAGGATTGTGGTGATCATCTTTCAACAGTATGGATGTAACAGTAAAAATCAGAAAGAATGATTGCCCTATAAATCCTTAAAGAGATAAAAGTAAACAAATGTGTAATAATTTTCAAGCATTATATTTTGCAAGGGTTACCATACTGTGACCTCTCTTTGCCTTGTTAGTTAGTAAAGGAGCTGGCCCCATTTGGCTCTAATACAAATTCTAAATAACACAGGGAAATGTTTATCAAAAAGTATACAACTATAAAAATGTCCACTATACCTTCTTCTAGTTAACCTAATATGGAAATTCCATTTTTATACAATTAAAGCCTTTTGCTATTGACAAGCAATATGGAAATTTATCAAGTCATTATTAAATTGCAACAAGGGAGGGATTCAACAAAGATCACAATAAATGAGTATAAATGATTTTACCTAATGACTGCAAATAGGTTCAATCATATTATTCCACCATATCATATCCATCCATAGGTGAGACAGTAACAAATATTAGATGTGTTATATGTATAAACACATGATAGATAAAATAACTATTAAAGACATTGTATATAATATGTATATATTTCAATATGTATATTAATGCATACTAACTGAGATTTTAACATTACATCTCTATAGGAATTTTAAAACTACAAAAGGTTTCAAAGTAAATTTAGTTTTAGAATATTAAAAGTAAAATTTATTAATGGTTTCAGTAATTTATGTGTTCTGCTACTCAAAATGATACATGAACAATTTAGATGCAATGTTATACTACAGATAATTCTCTTGTTTCAGCTTCATTAAATCACTTAGGCCAAAAGATAGATGCATGCCATCTAACCTGTAGCTGTTTTTCTGGATGACACCATCTGATGTGTCCTGTGCCTCTTTAGCAGAAAATCCTAGAAGGTGCCTCCTCTGATTTGCAGGGCTCACACTAGGGTTCATTCTCCTGGAATCCTGTTCCAGCATGCTGAAAATTAAAAAACAGGAAATAATAGCTGAAATAAAAATACATCACACATATGCCTGCTACATGCAGCTCTGAAACAAACCACCATTCCTTTGTAGATCCATGCATGTAACAAAAATGCTAGGCATAGAAGCAAGTACAAATAGTGTACTGATGTGTTCAAATCTGTAGCATGGTAACCTGCACATATCAAAAACAATTTTTATAAGTATAAAAGTACCTTATTTATAAACTGTTTAAACAATAGTGTTCTATATGCTTTAAAAACTCTATAATTACATGCATATATGAAGTAGAAATAAATATAACACACCTAAAAACAAACTTTAAACTCAGATAATAACTGAAGTAAAAAGGCCTTCTGGATGGTGCAAACTGGTGTTTTCAATGAGGGAATATTTCAAATGAAGTAGGAATTATTCTCTTTCTCAATAGTCAAATTCATTATTAGCCTTTCACAATTCCAGAAGGCAGGGTATCAATTAAGCTAAGAAAAAATTATTTTTAAAATACTTCTATTTGTATTTATATGTAAAAACTTCTATTCTTTCTCCCTACCCTCCCTAATATCTTCATTCATCAATGTATATCCTCTTCAGAGGCATAAGGATTTGGGGAAAACAACAAAATATATACATACAAGCAAATACTCCCTACTTACTTAACACTTTTTTTTTTTCCCACAGGGTCTCACTCTGTCACCCAGGCTGGAGTGCAATGGCGCAATCACAGCTCACCGAAGCCTTGACCTCCCGGACTCAAGCGATCCTCCCACCTCAGCCCCTCTGAGTAGCTCAGACTATAGGCATGTGGCACCACACCTGGCTAATTCTTTTTGTTGTTTAATTTTAGTAGAAATGAGATCTCGCTATGTTGCCCAGGCTAGTCTCAAACTCCTGAGCTCAAGCTATCCTCCCGCCTTGGCCTCCCAAAGTGCTGGGATTACAGACGTTAAGACACTGCACCCAGCCTTAATTAACACTTTCAACTTATTAATAGTGCTTAGGAACTTGACTCATCAGTAAGATTTTCTGTGTGTTCACACTTTGTTTTATGATGCAACCCACATAATTTACACTACTCATAATCTTAAAATTCAACACAAAGGGAATCTCCCTAGAGAAGCACAAAAGATTGTATTTGGAGGGATAAAATGCAAGAGGAAAGTAAGGCTAATGAAAAAGGGTATAGTTAAGGAGCCTGTGGTTCTAAAGGAAAAGCCGTTCTTTGAGATGTAGTAGTTTGCCTCCAAATTTGGGGAAATCAGTGTTGGGGGAAAACAGGGAACAGACACGTCTCTCTAGAATCTTTTTCTGATCCCTTAATATATTTTCCATTCTCCTCGATTCTTCACCCCCAGAAATCACTGCTACCCAGTGATTCTCATATGGTATGCTGTAGCACCTGGGCATACTGCAAACTCTTCAAAGGTATACCACCAATTAAAGCCATTGTGCAAAATTTAATTTTGCTACAACTGAGGCTATATTTCATTACAGTTGTATCTTTCAAACTAAATGTTTACCAAACCTTGCCACAAATGAGGTAAGAGGCCTAGTGGAACGTCTAACTAAACTTAAGAAAACTCACCCTGATGAGTATTTAAGAAAACATGAGAGAAGCAGAAAACAATAGCAATTTGGGAGGGAAGCCAAACGAAGAGTTGATGATAACTAAGAAATTTTATTTCTTCTTTTGGAAACTAACTTTGAAAAAAAGTGTTTACTTTTTCTTTCAAGCATGGTGCCAAAAATTCTACTTATGAAAGTAAGCTATGAATAAAATCAAAGTTAAGAACTTTCCCCTAAGTTAGAGAATCTCAATTCAACCCCTACTGACCCTGCTATTGTATTAGTGAAATATCCACATACTAATGTTCCTGTTTGGTGGAATACTTACTCCCTGATCCCTCCAGTAACTCTACCACCCTAATTACTAAGAGTTTCCCCTTGTTTTAACTAGAAATGTGCTTCCTTTTTAAAACACAAAAAAAACAAACAAACTTCTACCTTTTGATACTAGTTCTGGTCTAAGTAAGCCTTCTTCTAATGTCCAAAGACATCTAACATCCCCCTTACCCCAGGCTTTCTTTTTCAAGGTTATAGTTTCTTGATTATTTCACCTGCCCCTCTTTATAGCATAGTCTGAAGTTCCTTTAGCATATTTGGTCACTCTCCTATCAATATGCTTCTCAGAGGTGATGTCCAGAATTGGCCACAGTACTTCTTAGGTAGCATGACCACTACGGAATGGAAAAGGATGATTCCTTCACCTGCTCCAGACACTGTTGTTCTACTGATGCAGTCTAACATCGCATAGGCTTTTCTGGCAGTTATATTACACTCTATTTATATTGAGCCCAGTGTAATTAAAACCCTAAGTCCTTTCACACAAACCGATTTTGAACCATTACTTTCGCTTCTTCCTATCCCACCTCAACTCTGAATTGATGTAACTGAGTTTTAGGATCCAGCTGAATAATTTATATCAATTCCTTTAAAAATATTTGCCTACTAATCAATCAAGAACTTTTAGGCTCCTCGTTAGCAAAAGAAATTCTTCCAAGAAAGTATCAGCATGCTATCAATATCCTGTACTGAGTTGTTATTAAAATAAAAAGCTCCTTCTGTAAAATCTGTAAAAATGTAGGTTTATCTACTTATGAATTAACTGAAATATCACCTAGATCAAAATTTCCCATCTTGACCATAAAGATATCACAAGAATGTTAAATGTTCTTCTAAGATGCAAATACAGTATATTTTAACAGTAGCTACCACTTTTAAGTACCTACTATGTACTAAGGAATGAAGGCTCAAAGGAAGTTGAGGCTCAAAGACTTTAAACAGTTTGCCCAAAGTTATGCTCTAAATAACTAATAAAGTCAGGATTTGGATTCAGGATTGGAATTCCATCACTGCACTGACCACATTTCCCAGGAATGAATGATACATCCATTCATTTATTCATGTATGTAGTAAATACCTATTACGTTCTAAGAACTATATTTGGTGCGAATGACTCAAAGATGAAAGGTAAAAAAAAATCAGAATACAGCAAGTTTTCAAATACTGCTGGTTCATGCAATGTCATTTTGTGATAACACTGATGACAAGAAAAAAGTCAATTCCCAGCCAAGGTCACTGTCTGTGTGGAGTTTGCATACTCTCCCCAAGTCTGCATGATTTTTCCTGTGGGTACTCCAGTTTCCTCCCACATCTCAAAGATGTGCATGTTAACTGGCACGTCTAAATGGCCCCAGTCTGAATGAATGTGGGGACCATGTGTGAGTGCACCCTTCAAAGGGATGGCACACTGTCTGGGGTTAATTCCTTACTTGTGTGTCGAGCTGCCAGGATAGGCTCCAGCCATCTACCACCCTGAACTGCAATAAACACATTGGAAAATGACCACAAATCATTGTAAAATAAAAATGTGTACAGTATACAATAATCATACAAGTGCATGACAATAAATGATGAATGAAAGCTCTCAGCAAGCCTGCCATATTTGTGACTGTTTTTGAACTGTGTGGTGGGAGGTGCTCCTTTCACTTTGCAACATTTATTCCTTGATTTAAACCACCACTACTATAACCATGTTACTTCACTGTTTTACCAAAAACTGGATTAATAATTATCTTGTTTTTTTAAATTTTTTATTTCCACAGGTTTTTGGGGAACAGGTGGCATTTGGTTAGATGAATAAGTTGTTTAGTTGTGATCTGTGAGATTTTGGTGTACCTATATCCCAAGTTTAGCTCCCACTTATGAGAGAGAACATAACAATGTTTGGTTTTCCATTCCTGAGTTAGTTAACTTAGAATAGTCTCCAATCCCATCCAGGTTGCTGTGAATGCTATTAATTCATTCCTTTTTATGACTGAGAGGTATTCCATCATATACATATACCACAGTTTCTTTATCCACTCGTTGACTGATGGGCATTTGGGTTGGTTCCACATTTTTGCATTGCAAATTTTGCTGCTATAAACATGCATAAGCAAATATCTTTTTTGTATAATGACTTCTTTTCTTCTGGGTAGATACCCCATAGTGGAACTGCTGGATCAAATGATAGTTCTACTTTTAGTTCTTTAAGGAATCTCCACACTGTTTTCCACAGTGGTTGTACTAGTCTAGGTGACTTTACCAATGTTTGAGAACTATTATTGTAAACTAACCCTGTTTTTCACAACATCTTTCCCGTCTCAGTTCCCCAAGAGGTACACATTTTTACAATGAATTCAACAGAAGTGGATAGTTTAGAAAGAGGGACTGGGGGAGTTTGGAGGGGCATGAAAGGGTACAAACAAAGTGGCTATTTGTATGACTTATGGATAATTTATAAATTGAATTAATTAATTCAGAACTATTGATACTTTAAAGTTTATAAACAACTCTTCTACTAATCATTGTTCTTTTAATGATTTTACTAACACTATGAAAACTGGCATTCAAATTCACAATTCAAGGCTGTTAACAGGCAAATGCTTTGAGCTTAACTATCAGTGTAGTCTATCCCATCTGTATCCAGGCTGTCCTAAAATCACTTAGCAGCTGTACTTACTGGAAATCAGTTTTAGTGTTGATTGGTTTGGCTCATAAGTGGTCGCTATTTTTCCCACTGCCCACTTGGTAATGATTATCACATTGTAAAGACAATATACCCTTAAACATAGCTATTTCAGTAAACTTTTAGCCTTTTTTGAGCCAAGGAGCTCAGATGCATTCAATGAGCTTCACGAAAATTATCTTATTTACATTATACAGAGTCAATAAAGTATTTCCAACAAGGGAGTCATGATGAAGCAAAATTTAGGATCCAAATAGTCTGTGGATTTCAATTTTACTATCTCTCCATTGGCTACAATATATTTTGAAGAGGTAATATACTAATAAATTCTGCTAAAAATCTTTTAAAGTTTTTCACTTGTTTGTTTTTGGTTATTATTTTTTGGCCTCCATTTCCTGTAGTTTTTTTGTCTTAAAATGGAATTT